AAGTTCATAAACTGATTGAACCAGGACTATATATACTGAAGTAAATAAATAAATATATAAATAAACAAACAAACTAACAATCCACAAGTTGATAATAATCTCAGATATTATATATTTATATACATCAGTAGAAAGGAATACACCAATATTATGACTGTAATAGCTATGTATCTGGTATATTTAGATATTAGGTGTGCTACGAATTTTCTGATTTGAAAATTGGTTAGTACGAGTAGGTACAAACCGAATATCCAAAATTTTGGAGGTATTCAATATGTTTCGACTGACTAATTAATTATCTGATCTCCACAACTATTATGATAGTCGGTGTTCGGATATCCATACAACTTTATATTTTTAATCGGATAAATTTATATTTTGAACCGTACAACTAAAATTAATTTTGATAAAAATCTAAAAAATATAAATTAATAGTATTTTTATCATATAAAAACTTATTTACTTCTTAGAACTCTAATAACTAAAATACTTAATTAATAAATAAAATTGTATAAACTACATAATAATTATATAATATATAAATAATTGTTTAAATATATGTATATGTGTGCATATAATGAATCAAATCGGATATCAATTCCTAAAAATATTAGTATTATGATTTGCTTCCTTTTCTATTTTTTTGTAATATTACATATGAGTTTGTTTTACTTCGTAAAAATACAAATATCCATTTTTTTAGTTGAAATAGAAACGAATAAAATATCTTAAGAATATTTTATTCAACCTTAGTGTGTACCTCTATCTTTTCATCCTCGGAGGCCTCTTACATATTGTCTTCGAAAATGCCACACCAAATTAAATTCAGTTTTTTGTTGCCACTGTCTCAGATGTCTTTGTTGAAAATATTAAATGCTTGTGTATACATATTCCTCCCATGAGAATATAGGTATGTGTGGACAATGTGTGGACCGGTCTTGGGTCATGTTACGTGAAACATTTGCTAAAAGTTTTAAAATTTTTTGAAAAAAACTATATGGAAATAGATCTCTAATTTTTTTTTTAATTCTCAGAAAACTATTTTATATAGAAATAATAATATGTTCTTAAAATCTCAAGGCCGACCCTATGTGTGGTAAGCCTCATGATCAATCACTTTGACAAAGTCTTGGGGAAAATGACTTTGTCAAACATTTCACTTGTTATCTTTGGGAAAATAAGTACACATCACTTTCATGCTTTCTCTATTTTTGGTTGAATGTCAACTTCTCGTGTTTTATTTGATTTTTCCTCATCACCGGTCCCAGTACACTTGGGCAGCGGCAGTCCATGACCTTTTTTTAATTGGTACAGTGTACCAAGAAAATTAAATAGAGAAATACGAAGCATAAATGTCTGACTCGTCACACTACACTTGGGCAGCGGCAGTCCATGACCTTTTCTAAAATCTACATGCACATTTTTTCTCATTATAAGTCTTCCTTATACCTCATATATGTGAATATTTTTTTAAAAAACTTTGGGTTATCCTAGGCCCATGAAAAAATCCAGGCTAATCTTCAAAGGCGTGGTGCAGCCCACGGATAGATCTTCGCTCTGAATATTCAAATGAGTCGTAAGATAAGTCCATATCCACGTGACCACAAGGTAAGATATAGTGAGGTGCCTTCGAACCTAGATTACTTAGCAAATTCTAAAATTCGTCTAGCACTAGACCACCATCACATATATGAATATACTCTTGAGGATGTTATCATTTATATCATATAAATATTTATACAGAGAACTTTTTTTGTTGAAATTTGACCAAAATAATCTTTTGTATTTTCCTATAATAGCGTTATGTCATAAGAATAGCATAACGTCTGATAAAAACTTGTGTATCATCAGATAAAATTATAAAAACTGAATAACATTAACTTAATGATAATTTTAATTTTAAATATTATAAAAACGAAAAAAAAATATTTTATCTTAATTTCTTCTTCTAAAATAAACATGTTATCATTTATCTGTATTTAGAGAAAGAAATAACATTTTCTTTCTGTCATATAGGCATACCTCTTTATTTACCAATGATTTCTTTATTTTTTATTTATAATTACTGACTCTACTAAATAATTTTAGAGAAAAATAATAACTTATATAAATATCACTTTTGAATTAAATAACAGTCTTTAAAATCTCTAATTGAAATAATATCATAATTTTATAAAAAATGGATTAATTATCAGTTTTTACTAAATTATATCTAAAATAAATAAAAGATATTAAAAATATTTCTTTTTAGATAAACGTATAATAATACAATGGAAACAAACACATCTATATTTTTAGAAAAAAAGATTAAGGAAATACATTGGAGATGGTATAACATGAATACATATAATAATCTCACACACCAGGGTTATTTAACTCGGAAGAATCCTTATCTCATTAATGAAAAAGACAACGTTATCTTATATGGAGCATAATATAATATCTATCATAAAGAAAAAATATGAGTGCTACTACTCGTAAATCTGCATAAGTAAAGCTGTAAACTCTGTTTAATTTAATTTACTGCAGACCAAAAACCTGTAGAAATCGGTAGATAAGAGATTTTTTTTTTCAAAGAATAATATGTACAGTAAAATATCTATAAGTTAATAATATTGAAACTATAATACTTTGTTAATTTATAGAGTTGTTAATTTTTTTTTGATATTTCTAGATTTTAGAATATATTTTTTTTGTAAATAAAAATTGTTGATTTCACTGTTTAAATATTAATTAAATTTATAAATTAAATTTCATATAATTTTTACCATATAATTTTATTTATATAAGATATGTATCATACAGTTTAATGTGTTTAATATATGAATTTATTAAATATCATCAAAATATTATGAAATCTTACAAAAAATATAAATAAACTCCATTGTGAATATAAAACAAATGAGAAATGTATTATCTATACTTATATATGAATTATTAATTCATGGTTTAGTTGGGTTATATATTTACATGAGATTTTTTTGTATATTATTAATTTTTCGATTTATTTTATGTTTTGAACTGGTTAACTCGGGACTGGTGAAATTTATTAATTTGTCATCTTTATCAGTTTATCATAGTATTAAGTTATAAAGTATTTACAGTATGTTAAATAAATATAAAGATTTAAAAGGAAAGTTTAACCCATTTGTCAATTTTTTCTTCCCAAAACCATTCCACTTTCTTGAAAAAATAAGAAAAATAAAAGAACATGAAATCACTAGAGTAATTAAAATTATTAATTTCGTCTTCAAGAACTGTGTAAAAAAAAACCATTTTGTCAACTTAAACAAGATGTAATTGTTTTGCTTTGGTGACCAAAACACACACTCATTTTATATTTATACACTGTTATCTCTCTATAACAATGTTCTAGTCAACAAATCGGGCATGCATTCAAAATATCAGTCTAGACGTCCGTCTAAACATTAATGATCTGTAAAATGTCTATCCACCGCCTAGAGATCATTAGAACATTATATACAATATATAATTAGAACATTGTCTACAATCTATATTATAATAGTAGAGTTTATAACCTCCACAACGCACCACGTCAACATTTTGTAGATCCCACGTGTTTAATTTTTAAAAACTCAAAATCTTTCTAAAATGATAACAAACAAGGAATTACACTTTAGCTAAATGATATAAAGTGTTTAAATGAATTCGTAAGTGCGTGGATTCAATCCACACAACTAGCATATATTTTTTATTTTTTCGCTTGGATTATTATCATATGGGCTTTTTGTTTTTAATGTTTATATGTTTTTTACCTTCTGGGCTTTTTGTTTTAAAGCCCAAAATAGTCGGACAAACCCTACAGCTTAACGGCTTCAAACCCAAAACAATTAAAAAAGGATCGAAAAATGAACAGTCTAAAAAACAAAAAAAAAGCGGCACTATCATGTATATTTTCTATTAAGACATATTTCCTAATATATATTTTCAAAAAATATGTATATGAAATAAAATTAAAAAACAAAAAAATTTAAGTATTTTTTCTTATTTATTAAATAGATATGTAATTTCTCTTACTTTTAATAGCTACTATAATTTCATTGAAAGCATTTCTCACTATCCACTCTAATGGATTATCAGATTTCGGTGAATGGATTCCTACAGTCGAGGGCGTCATAAATAAAAATACCACGTTATTCATGAATAAACCTCAAACTTACAAAAATCATATACAAAAACCTATCTAATGAAACCAAATAACAGATATTAATTTAAATTAATGTTATTTTCAAATTGATAAATTGTTTAGTATAAATATAAATACTATAAATAAATAATTATATCAAGTTTTGATCTACGGTATAAAAGTATTCCCCACCACCGATTCTAATGGTTTATTAGACTTCGACGAAGGGATTCCTAGAGTCGAAAACGCCGTAAATAAAAAGGCCACATCGTTCATGAACAAAACTCAATCTTACAAAAAACCATATACAAAAACCTATCTAATGAAACTCAAACAACAAATATAAACTTAAATTAAGGTTATTTTCAAATTGATAAATCGTTTAGTACAAACATAAATACTGTAAATAAAGAACTATATTAAGTTTTGACTTCCGGACTCCAGTATAAAAGCTATTTACAGAAAAAAAACAAAAACAAGATAAACACCTATTTTTACACACTAAAAATTGTATTATAATTTAACTATTCCTATCAACCTTACTTCGCTATAAATAATATTTAACACATTATATATACAATATTTGAGTTCACACTCTTGCTATATTCTTTCCATTTCATCATTATTTAGTGTTATTAGAATAATTCACTAAACCAACAATCAAAAAATATACGCAAACAACAATGATCTCGGCTCCGTGTTTGCGCGGAGGAGATGCAACTAGTATATATAGTAATGAAGTTAATCCACATGTTGAGAAGAGGAAGGCTTTATGGCAAGAAAATAAAAAAATAAGTTTTTCATTGACTTGGGCGTTTCCTATACATATAGCAATAAATATGTCTTTGTCTTTGATAACTACAGAACCACAGAACTCTTTTTCTTTCTCTTCTTCTCTCTTTTGAAAAACAAAACCAATCTTTCTCAAGCAAAACACATAGATTAGCTAAAGACCAAGAGAGGTCGGAGAGAGATGGGGAGAGCTCCATGCTGTGACAAGGCAAATGTGAAGAGAGGTCCATGGTCTCCTGAAGAAGACGCAAAGCTTAAAGATTACATAGAGAAGCAAGGCACTGGTGGGAATTGGATTACACTCCCTCACAAAGCTGGTATTATATACATCTCATGCTTTCAATGGGTTAATGTCTTGTATTTTTTGTGGGTTCTCTTTAGAATTTAAACCTTTGGTGGGTCTTTGTTGATTTTATTTATCTTGTATAATATGATATATAAAGGTTTGAGGAGATGTGGGAAGAGTTGCAGACTGAGATGGTTGAACTATTTGAGACCAAACATAAGACATGGAGATTTCAGTGAGGAAGAAGACAATATTATCTGCAGCCTCTTTGCCTCCATTGGAAGCAGGTGAAGAAAGTCTAGCTTCAATTTCTTATATTACACTAATATGATTCCAATATTACTAATCTTGGTCTTGGTATATCTGATCTTAAGGATGTGAAAAGATAAATATTTTTTAAATCATGAGAAACAAATGAGAAAGTGGGTATCAAAAAGCAAGAGCGTTTGCATGGCTAAAGGAAATTTTAAGCTATATTTTTCTTAATTAATAAGTCTTTAGCTTTTACATGCCTCATTTTGTGCAGTATAATTGCCTCATTTTGAGGTTTACTCTTTAGTTCATAATTTAGGAAAAGAAATGGGAGAAAAATCACTTTAACAACTATTGAATAGTTATTAATTTTGAGTATTTTTCATTTAATTATTGTGGTTGCATAAATGAGGAAATTTTAAGCGATATTTTTCTTAATTAAATAAATCTTTAGCTTTTACATGCCTCGTTTTGTGCCGTATAATTGCCTCATTTTGAGGTTTACTCATTAGTTCATAATTTAGGAAAAAATTGGGAGAAAAATCACCTTTAACAACTATTGAATAGTTATTAATTTTGAGTATTTTTCATTTAATTATTGTGGTTGCATAAAGGAATAAATCATGTTGAGATTGCAGGTGGTCAGTAATAGCAGCTCACCTGCATGGTAGAACTGATAATGACATCAAGAACTATTGGAACACTAAGCTCAAGAAGAAACTCATTGCTACTATGGCTCCTCCAGGACCTCATCACCTCTTAGCCATTGCTTCATCATCATCATCATCATCACCTTCATCATCATCATCATCATCACATTACAACATGATCAATAATATTCTTACGTATAACCCTTCAATATCTGCAAACCAGCAGATCACACCTCATCAGGGGATGATGATGACAATGATGGGCCAACAACAATTATACCAAGAAGACATGGGCAATATGGTAAATTCTCCAAACAGAAACAAGCTCGTAGTAAGCCATCAAGAGAACAGCCAGAAGCAAAGTACAAACAAGGGAATAATGTTGTTGAATGATGTAAGAAGTGGGTCAAATACAAGAAGTACAGTAACAAGAGTGAAGATTGAGCATCATGATTATCATCATGGAGAAGAGGAGAGATCAATGGAATATGGAATGGAGGAGATCAATCAGTTAATAAGTAGTAATTGTACGAGTAGTAGTAGCAATACCTTGTGGTTTGATGAAAACAAGACAGAGGATAAGTTCATGTTCTACTATTGAAAAAAAATGTTGTACTATTGAACTCTCTCACCAACTTTGATTCAGTATCCTTTTTCTCTCATTTTCTTAAATAAATATAAATTATTATACTTACTTTTTAAGAAGAGTTTAAACATGTTATTCATGATCTTAATTTGGATGTTTTTTTAGGGAAATTGGGCTCTATGACGTTCAAACATTTTATAATTAAGGTCATAGTCAAAAACCCTAATATTTAGCTATATAACTTCTAATTTATATAATATTCCAATCTTAGCCTCAGTTACAACCGGATAAATCTGCAGATAAATAATATTGTTTTTTATTTATTTTAACTATGTAAAAAGTTATCGTGTCAATTACAGAAACACACATCCTAATGAACTAACTTCTTCTTCTTTATTTTTGGAGAAGGTAAATAGTTTGAGACAAGGGATTTGCTCAACCCCGATTTTATCTCTGATTCCTATGCCTAGATTTCAATCACAGAAGACCTATTAAATGGACATACGTTGATGGTGATGTAGCTTGGCTGAGTCTAAAAACGAACGAGGCGGCGATGAAGGAACAATCATCGCAAGGAAATCAACGCAACTGATTGCGTTATTGCGATTGACAAGAAAGTGAATGAAGAAGCGGTATCAACGAAGATGAGAGAGATAACAAAGTCGCGGAAGGTGATTTTAAAATTGCAGAATCATGGTTGTAAAGACGAGAAAGAAGATACTTACATATTGTATACATATTTGTTTGAGGTTACTATACTATTTATGATATAGTATACTCTTGTACACATATTTCTATACTATATTTATGAAATAGAATAGTCTTTTGTACCCTTCAAATTCAACATTTTTTTCATTGACGCATTCATATTAGTGTACTATGTTATTCATCATGTTATATTCCATTTGTTGAGAGAAATATTTTAGTGTGTTTACAATGATAGTGTGTACTGATGTGAAACAATTTGTATTATGTTTTTCCTGTTCATGTTCTGTAATGCGATATATTAATGTATTGCTCAGTTGATGATTAATAAAGAATGTTCTATTTTGTTCACTAATATGTATTATACTCTGTATTTTGTTCCATTCTATTTGGGTTTAGGGTTTATATTTGAGTTTACGATTTATATTTGGGTTTAGGGTTTAGTGATTAGGGTTTAGGGTTTAGTATTTGGAAAATGGGAGTTGAGATTTGGGTTGAGGGTTTATATTTGGGTTTAGAGTTTAGATTTCCTAATTTCATCAATAATTGTGCAATTTTTTGTTCCATTCTATTTTGGTTTAGAATTTATATTTAGTTTTATTGTTTATATTTAGGTTTAGGGTTTATTTTGTTCGGGTTTAGGGTTTAGTATTTAGGAATTATGGTTTATGGTTTAGGACAAAGTTTAGTATATAAAATTTGGGGTAATGTTTAGTATTAGAGAATATGAGTGAGGATATAATTCTATACTATTTCGATGATATAGAATATAACAATCAATGCATACGTATGTGGTCAATAAACGTGTGACGTATAAGACTTGTTCTTTTACGTGATCAATGCATTTTTATGTGGTCAATATAGATAATTTTATATATTTTAGAGGTTGAAAGTGATGTTGAGATACAAATTATTATTTAGAGGTTGAAAAATGTTTAGTCTACTATACTGTTTTAGTGATGTAGAATAGGAACACTTTATTAAATGAAAGTGGTTCTACTTTTAGCCATACATCTCTTCTTCATTCTTTAAAAATAGAGTGACTGAGCTTGTTAAATGGAATACACGATATATTGGAAGAAGTTCAATTTTTAGTATTTAAGAATTATGAATGTGGTTTTGTCTTCAAATAGTACTTTGGATGTATAGAATAGAACATTTAGTATATATATATGTGATCAATAAAAGTGTAACGTGGATGTCTTTTTCTTCTTTCACTCCAGGCCATATATTATTTGTGATATATTACGTTTACCAAATACCTGTTAACGGTGAGAGTATACCTGTTAACGGTGAAAGTATAACCGGCTAATTTTGGATACAAATGTTAAATTCTTTATTATGTCAAAATCAATGACATATATTTAATTTTACTTTCAAATTTAGTTAGATAGCAAATAAGCCTTTTTTTTATTGTGAACCTACAGATGTTATAAATGAAGGGATGTCAATCTCAAGGTTGATTCCAGTTTGATGATCACCAGTACGTCTACATATGTCAAATTGTTTTCTTACCAAACAGCTACCTTTACAGAATTAAAAAAGCTATATTCAAATAAAATATTCAAAACATTATAGCAGATGATTTTTCCCAATGACTATCCACATGAAATCAATATAGTGACTACGGAAATAAATCATTCAGATAATTTCCAACTAGTCTACAAAATTTTTACCATATAAGAACCAGAGATTTACAATAGTCATTTGTGCAGAGAACACGAGATTATTTATGATTAGTATATCATATTATGAATATACGATAGACTGATCTTCAGTTTTTCTAGTAGACTAGATATTTTGATCCTATGCTTTTAGATGCGAAAACTACTACCACTTGCATTTCTTTAATACTTTAAATTTAATGCTCTTTTCTTATACTTGAATCATTAATCAACCAATCGTTTATCAAAGACCGACTGTATATGCTATAATCATATCCACCTCCATCATCTATTATACGGGGATATGGATTTCAATCCTATATGGATGACAAAATATGTCTCAATCACACTAATTTAAATAAATACAGGCTAAAAAGTAACTCAATCATATTCCTCAATCGAAACTGATCAAATATATTTCGTTTACATGCTCTTAAGACCTATTCGAAATCGTAAGGAAATATTAGAACCGAGCAACAACGAGTAATATAAATCAGTCATGATTTTTAACAACATACATTATATAGAGTTTTAATATAGGTAGAAACAAACACACTGGTAACACTGTTAATACAAAACTAGAGTATATAATGGTTACTTTGTTAATGTTATCAAATTAATCTTTCCAGCCGTTGTTTTTGATACCGGTCGAGAGAGTCGTACCAAGATTGCGCTTCAATAAAATCACTAGCATATTTTCCGTACAAAGTGTTATCATTATAAGCTAACCTCGCCGTCAAATTTGTATTCTTATTCGACCGACGACTTAGAAAAAAGCATCTTCATTATTTGTTTATTTAAAATTGTCACTATATATTGTGCATGCATCATTATAGATGTGTTATTTTTATATCGTCCGGATTAAGGGAATGAGTAACGAATGTCTTCTTTGAATGGGAGGAAACTGACAAAAAAAATGTGACATTGCCTATCTGTAAAAGAGACCTATCATTGTGCTATTAACAACGAATTATTGAAACACTAGTTATAGATCAGCTGATATATATTAGTGAAAGAAGGTTGAGCTACAATTAAATAATTTCTAAGATATATTACAAGTAATTTTTGTATACACAATGAAGTTTAGCTATTCTATTGTTTTTTAAACACAAACTTACTTTTATTCATAGTCAATTTCTCCAATATAATAGAAAAAGAGACTTATCCACCCTCTTTGATAATAAGCATAACGTACAAAACATAAATAAGCTAAGTAAGATATGTCTTCAACCAAAGATGAAATCAGATTTAAGATGATGCTTGAATGCGTCGAGTGGGCTTTCACGGCAAAGTCGTACAGTTGGAGAATAGTCATATAATGTAACATTGAGGTCCATGTTTCATCTACAAAAATTACTGAAGTAATCTCAATTATCTCAAGGCTGAGGAAAAACACCTCTTTCTATAGAAAAAGGATAAAGTGGTAACAGTTTTTATTCAAAGGAGGAGGATGATCAAAAGAAAACCAAACCCGGTGAACCAATCAGTAAATTCATCCCAAAGGAGAGATATAATCGTGTATTACATGAAGGAGAGAATCTGGTGAACCCAAATATAATCTCTAATATAAAACTCCGATCACCCATTCAAAGTATATGAAGGTTTCCAAATGTAGCAGAGAAATCTGGTCCGGAAGAGAAAGTAAAGATCTGAAAAAACGAAAGCTAAAGAGACAGCATAGAGCAAACTGAGACACGAGCAGGGGAAGCCAGAGGCGAAAACCTAACACATTTTAAATTAGGTGATGCATGTTTTACCGAGATGAATGGCTCATGTTGACAGTTCTTCCCTTTTAAAACCCGAGAGAGAAAGCAATTAGCATGATTGATGACTCTCTAGGATTGTTTTGCAAGAAGTGATTTATTGAAAGGGTTGAATCTCTCGGAAGCCAAGGCCTCAGTTTCAGTAGCTTGTTCCACAAGGTCCAACACATCTTCTTTGTAAAGTCGTTCACATTCCACCAAACGCGGGTTTATGTCAATTGTATTCTCTTTCATAAGCTCACCATTAATGGAAACAATACATGGCATAAGTCAATGTCATTGAGAGAACAAACTTTAAAATACTCATTTTACCAGCATTTGAAAGGAAGCGTGATGACCACATTTTAGCCTACTGTCAGATTCTATCAACATGAACATATCCTTTTTTGATATCTAAAATGCTCCAAGAGGCCGATGTAGTTTTACCCGCCCCCTCCCCTCTTTTGCGATACCAAAAGTTGTACTATTCCTTGAGTGTGTAGTGATATATATGTAACGAGGGTTGTACTATTCCTTGACCGGGTAGGGGTCACATATAGGAAGGGTTGATTTAAAACCGAGGCCACTCTAGTACAAATCCAAACACAACACACACCAAAAGAACTTGACACAATTAAAATCGATTGAGCAAAAATGAATACGTAGTTGAATACAATTAGAGGAAATTTATACTAAATTTTATGGTTTATGTACAATGAATGATACATATAGACACATTTTGTGAGTTAGATCACACCATTATTGAATGACGGTTATGACTCACAAGAAATGCCATTGCCAATAAACTTTGTCAACTATAGCTCCACCTCTTTGATCATCAAGATGAAGTCTTTCTGCAGCCGGAGGAACGCCCCAGAGATTGGAACCACCACTATCATTGTTATTTTCTCTTGTAAACCGTCGTTGCTCTCTTTCTCTGTAGGAACGATCTTTTTAACACAGAAGTAAGGAGTGTTACTTAGAATTAAATTAGAAATAATGTTAAGAAAGAGAGACAAAAGAGATTTATGTAAATCCAAACCTCTCCACCATGTTATAAGACAGTGTCTTGAACAACACCACTAAACATCTCAACGGAACGACAGAATCCAAAGATACACAGTCTTCTTCCCATGACCAAGTCCTTTACATTTTTCAAAACAATGCACTACAAAATACCGGTGTTGTCTAAAGTAATAGCAAAAAGGCAAGAGTACATACATTTGTAGCTGCGATGTTGAAAAGAGCTCCGAGGCATAGACCTTGGACATGATCCATGTTGGCACTTTTTTGAAACTTTGGAAGTTCCTCTGGTGATTTGGATCTCCCATCACACAAAATATGACTCATTTCCGCCACTGTAGATAATCTAATCTATTAAAATAGAGTCATTCTTTTTATCTACTGATACAAGTTGTCATTTAAATTTGGACCCTTTCTAGAGTGTTACAAATAATACAAGTTATATATTTGATTGAACCGCATTACTTAAATTAAATTGGCGGTTATTTATGGAATAGAGTTTTGAGCTTACTTTTGTTTTTATGACATTTAATTGTTTGGTTTTTGAGCTTAGTATTAAAGAAAAACTCCAAAAAACATTAAATAAACTTTCCACCTTAATGGATCAAAAATCAATTACTATTTTCAGGCGCAAAAATATTTAATATTTTCAACAAAACAAAATTATCTATTATTAATCACTTATTTAAATCATCTACTTTTAAACATGTTAATATTTTTTATTTTAAATAACAATCACTCTATATTGATAAATTTTAATGGTAGCTTTTAAATAATTTATTGTTTTATTTTTCTTAAATAATTTACAGATTTAAAAAAAAAAATGTAAAGCAAAACCAAAAACCAAATCTAAAAACTAAAATCCAAAACCAAAAGCTGAAAACGCAAGTTATATTTTTTGCTTTTTTTATTTACAAAATAAACTATTTCAAAAATTTTAGAAAATTATTTTGTCATCTTTTCAGTTTTAAATTACATGTTCGATTAATTGAGATTTGTTTGTTGGTAATATCAGTTCAAACTAACTCAACGGGTCTAAAAATTAAAAACCCAAACCAAAAGCTGAAAATAAAAAATAGAAACTTAAAAACTAAAAACCAAAAACCAAAATTTAAAACAAGATCTAAAAATAAAAACTGAAACTAAAAACTAATGAAAAACAACTATCAACACAAATTTTGGTAAACTAATTTTATACCAAAACATTCTTTAAATTAAGATAAAACCCAATTATATAAATTTTAATCATAAAAAAATTTTGCGCTTGAACAAGCGCGGGTCAAAATCTAGTTAGTGTTATAACAAGGGCTAATCCTGGGCTAAAGTCCATAAAGTAAGGGTTGTCAAAATTGCATTGAGTCACTTTAGATTGGGGGTTTAGATAGTTCAGCTTAATTTAGTCATGTAGGGAAACATGTCAATTCTACTTTCTTGATTTATTTATTTATTTTTCTTATTTTATTTTAAATAATAATAATAATAATAATAATAATAATAATAATAATAAAAAATCAAGATTTGGTGCATTTCAAACGATTTTGTTACCTTTTTAACAAACTTAGTTTCTTTTATTACAAATTATATTAAATGATGATGCTAAATAATTCTTTTTAAGTAATCTCCAATTATTTTTAAAGGAGACATTCTTCTTTTTGGCATCTCACATTTTCCAATATAACACTTTTTCTCTATTTCTTCTTTTTTTGGTAAGTTTTGTAACTTCTTAAAAATAAAATTATGAAATATGAACAAACAAAATTATCTTAAATTGTGGGTTCTAATAATCTGTGAGACATTTAACAATGCAAAATTGATGTTGATGTCACGTGATGATTTTTTAATGTGTTGCTATCTTCTAAAAGTTATATTAGTTTCTTAAATTTTAAATTTATATAAAATGCTATAAAAATAATTAGGAATCAGCCAATTGAATTGTTAGTAATATCAGTAAACACAAAGAAATACATGACTATTAGAAACTGATTATCGATTTTTAAAAATGAAAATAAAATTGATTTTTTTTTAAATCTAAGACCAAGTTACCTTATTATTATTTTTTTGGTAATATATGTTTAAACAATATAAATTTAGTAATAACTAATAATTAACGGGTTATATATAAGTTATAACGGCTGTGAGAAGATAGTGCAGAAAGAGAGATGAACAAATGAACCACAGTAAATTGATTCATAGATCTAATCATCTAACGTAGTTCATCGAAATGGTTACATACAAGAAGATCGTTTTTTTTACTGAAAAGCATTTTTAATATTACATTAGGGGTATAAGAACACTATATAAAAAAATAATATCCCACTTCATTAAATTTTAGTGATGGCGGATTCATAGCAGGAACTTGAGGAGGTTAGAGTAACACTACTACTTCACCAAATCTTAGGCTGAGTCACAATGACAATCTCAAACAATGGTTAACCAAAATATCTATCTTTTGAGTTTTGACTACTTTAATAAAATCCAGGGAAAACAGACAAACAAGGATGTTACACAAGAACATGAACAAGACTACCTACATGAGATGTTTTGATGCGGCGAAGAACCATATTGCCTTCGATCTGAATTAGCCCATCAGATATGAAAAGTGTAATCCTATCTTCAGTAACCCATTCAATGTCTGTAATATATATATATATATATATATATAATCTTTTTGAACCAGCATTGTGATCATCATCAGTTAAAAGTTGATGAATTTCTCACTAATGTCAAAACCTAGAAACTGTTGGGTTCCTTATGGAGGAAATTTTTTTAGGTTTGGTTGATGATAACCAGATTTGGAGTTGAATCATTAGTATTGGTACATGAGATTATTATTGAGTCTTAGAGGTTATTAGGGTTAGTGAGACATTATATAAAATTTCTTAACCTAATTTTTGGTTAGATTTTTGGTAAAAGTTGATACGAAAAAAGAAGAGTGCTTAAGAAGACTCATTAGACAAAAGAGAAAGGTGAGAAGGAAACAGTTTTCGTCTGAGTTTGTCAATGCAGTTTTGAAGTGTCAAAGGGACTCCTTTTGGGCTGATACCTTTTTGGAAGCTTCTTTAGTTAGTGGGTTAAAGGTTCAGAGAAGGGATTTGGATTTCAATGGTTGGATTTTCTGTTGTCTGAGTTTTCGTGAAATTGGTCGTCACAGTTTTCCAGCAGTGTTTTCTTGAGTGTTTGGTAAATCTGACGGTGAGATCTTCTTTGTTTGAGATGAAATTTGGCAGAGGTGTTGTTGACTTGTTTATCTTGGATTTGTACGGCAGGCTTAGTCTCTGGTTGCCGGAATACTTGTGAGCTGAGGTCGTCTTGTTACTATTGGTTTTGAAGCTTTGTGTTACTCTCTTGCTGTTGTTGTTCTTGTGTTGGAGATAGCTCTTTGTAGCTAGTTACTCTGTTATGTTCAGGTTGTTGAACAGGGAAGACGTGGTTCTACTAACATACATTTATATAGTGGATTGTTGAGTGGACTACAGTCTCGTGGTGTTTCTGTCTCACATCGAGGAGGTTTTCCACGTAAAAAGCACTTGTCTCATTTAGTTTCTGCTTATACTATATTCTGCTATCGTCAACGTATTTTCCTCATATATTTACACAAGGTTGGGGGAACACGAACACACATATTCCGCTGCGTCGTGTGTCCTAATTTTCCCCAACAAAGTGGTATGAGAGCTTCTGGTTTTCTTAGAGCTTTGGGTTTCATAACCTTGAGTTATTGTCTGCTTGTTTGAATGGTAGAAAATATGCACAGGATAATAAGCTTGAATGGTTCTAACTATCATTTATGGAAGGGCAAGATTGAGAATTTGCTCTCTGTTAAAGAATTTCATGTTCCGCTGTTTCAGAAAAAGGAACCTGATAACAAGACAGATGATGAATGGAAGCTGTTGCATCACCAAGTGTGTGGGTTGAAAAGACATTGGGTAGATGATAATGTGTTGCATCATGTTGAGACTGAGATTGATGCTCCTTCTTTGTGGCTGAAGCTGGAGCAGTTATATGCTAGGAAGAACGGAAATAACAAGATGTACATGATCAAGAAGTTGATTGAGCTGAGGTATCAGGAGGGGACTCCGATTACGGGTCACTTGAATGAGTTTCAGGGATTGCTCAACAAGCTATCTGATATAGGCATATGAGATTCGCGGTATATGGCTTCTTGGTACTTTACCAAACTCTTGGGAAATTTTTAGGATGTCTCTTTGTAACTCTATGTCGGAAGGTGTTATTTCGATGGATTCAATGAAGAACAATGTTTTTAATGAGGAAGCAAGAAGATAATCAAATGTTAGTACTTCACATTCAGATGTTTTTGTTACTGAGTCAAGGGGGAGAAGTTCACATGGAGATTCCAAGAGGGACAAGACAGAAGCAAGAGCAAGTCAAATAGATTTGTAAATTTGGAGTGCTATTTCTGTCATAAGAAATAGCACATGAAGAAAAAATTGTTGGAAGTTGAAAAACAAACAGCAAGGTAATCAAGAAGAAAAGGTGGATCGGGTGACCATCACCGAAGATCAATTTCTCATTCTTCTTGAGGGTGACACCATTAATGTCGCATGTCAAGATATCAGTTGGGTGATTGATAGGGGAGTCACTACTTATGCTACATCACAAAGGGGTTTGTTTTTTACCTAACTACGGGTAATTATGGTTCCGTGAAGATGAGAAATGATGCGATGGTTCAGGTTGCTGACATGGTGATATTTGTTTTGAGACTAGTCTTGGCACTAGGCTGGTGCTTAAAGATGTTAATCATGTTCCTGATATTAGGATGAATCTGATATCAATGGAAAGACCTAATGATGAGGGTTTCTACAGTTTACACAGTGGTGGTAAATGGAAGCTCTCTCGTGGTTCTTTGATTGTGGCTCGAGGTGAGAAGTTTTCATCTTTCTATTGGATGCAGGCTAAGGTCTCCAAAGATGTTATTAATGCGGTGGAGAATGATAATGCCATGGAGTTATGGCATAAGAGACTCGGTCACATGAGTGAGAAGGGAATGTCTGTGTTGTGTAAGAATGAGGTGATTCCAGGAATCTCTGTCTGCACCTGCAGAAGTGTTCGCATTGCTTTAAGGGAAAACAACACAGGGAATCTTGTAAGTCTTCTACGCCTTCTAGGAAACCCGAGGTACTGGATTTGGTACATTCAGATGTGTGTGGTCCAATGGAGACAAGATCTCTTGGTGGCGCATAATACTTTGTGAATTTCATTGATGATCATTCAAGAAAGTTGTGGATTTTTCTTATGAAGATAAAAGATCAGGTTCTTGGATATTTCAAGCATTTAGCGTTGGTTGGGAGATAAACGGGGAAGAAGCTGAAGTGTATCCGCAGTGATAATGGTGGAGAGCATGGTATAAGACATCAGTTCACGCTGCCTAAGACTCCACAATTGAATGAGTTGGCCAAAAGGACGAATAGAAAAATTATCGAGAGGATAAGATGTTTGATCTCACAGTCAGGCTTATCGATGAATTTCTTGGGAGAAGCTTTAAACACGGTGGTTCATGTGCTAAATTTGTCACCAAGTGTTCCATTGGAGGGTGATATTCCAGAGAAATTTTAGACTAGTAAGGATGTTTCTTAAAACCTCTTAAGGGTTTTTGGGTGTAAGGTGTTTGTTCATATTCCCAATGATGAGAGAGGCTTGAGATGAAGTCACTGCAGTGTGTGATCATCAGTTATGATCATGAAGAGTTCGGATACAGATTTTATGATCCCGCTGAGAAACAGCTCATAAGGAGCAGAGATGTTGTGTTCATGGAAGATCAAATGATAGAGGACATTGACAAGTCCATAAATCCAACTCAAGTTTTGGAGGGTTTGATCTATACATAGACTACTCTTTCTACATCAGTCCATGGTGAAGTTGAGGTTGAGGTTCAGGATGAAACTCCCAATGTAGATGCTCCCGCACATGAAGATGGTAATGGTGATCATGGTGACGATCATGGTGAGACAACAGCTGCTGATAACCAACCTATTGTTGTTAGAAGATCCGAGAGAGGTCTTAAACCGTCGACAAGGTATGATCCTAGTGAGTATGTCTTACTTATTGATGGGGAAGAGCCTGAAAGATATGATGAAGCTTTGGAGGATAAACACAAGGATATGTGGTTTGGAGCCATAGATGAGAAAATGGTTACTTTTGAAGAGAATCAAACATTCGAGTTGGTTGAATTGCCTAAGGGCAAGAAAACTCTGCTTAATAACTAGGTGTTCAAAATTAAGTATGAGGATACAGATTTGCCACCTAGATTCAAGGCTATATTTGTTGTGAAAGAATACAGCGAAAAGAAGGGGATTGATTATGATGAAATCTTTTCTCATGTTGTAAAGATGTCATCCATTCGGGTTGTGCTTGGATTGGCAGTGAACCTTGATCTGGAGATTGAAAAAATGGATGTGAAGACTGCTTTCCTTTCATGATGATTTGGAGGAAGAGATCTACATGGAACAACCGGAAGGTTATGTAAAAAAGGCAAGGAAAATTTGGTTTGCCGCTTGAAGAAAACCTTTATGGATTGAAGTAAGCACCGAGACAGTGGTACATGAAGTTCAAGTCAGTTATGGGGGAGCATGGTTATGTAGAGACTTATTCATACCCGTGCGTATTTGTGATGGTGTTTGGTGATGATGATTTTATCACCTTGTTGTTGTATGTCGATGATATGTTGATTGTGGGTAGGAACATGGAGAGGATTAAGGAGCTGAAAGATCAGCTAAACATGTCATTTGCCATGAAATATATGGGTCCATCGAAACATATTCTTGGTATGAGAATTGTTCAAGACAGAGGTGAGAAGCTGATTCATTTGTCTTAGAAGAAGTACATTGAGAAGGTACTTAAACAATTTCATATGGACAAGTCTAAAGTGTTTAGTATTACTCTTGCTGCACCCTTAAGACTGAGCAGTCAACAAAGTCCAAAGACATATGCTGAGAAGGAAGATATGGCGAAAGTTCCATATGCTTCTGCAGTGGGTAGTTTGATGTATGCCATGGTCTGTACAAGACCAGATTTAGCTTACGCCGTTGGAGATGTCAGCAGGTTTCTCTCCAATCCGGGAAGAGAACATTGGAATGCTGTGAAGTGGATTTTGAGATATCTCAGAGGGACTTCTGATCTAAAGATTACTTTCGAGGGTAAGAGCACCCGCAATGGTGATATTTAAGGGAAAATTCTTAGGGAAAAATAATTAAATAATCAGTAGACCCCACAAAAAGTTAAGGATTAATCCTTAAAAATCTCTAAATAAGGACTCTTAGCAAATCCTTGCACTATTTGTGGGCCCCCACGACACGTGTCGACTCGCGATTGGTTGGTATTTACTTTTTTTTTTATCTGAAAAAATAATAATATCAAAAACTAAGGACTCCAATTGGTAACACCATTGCGGGTGCTCTATGAAACTTTCACTTGTCAGTTACACTGATTCTGACATGTCTGGAGATGTTGATTTTAGTAAGTATACTTCGGATTACTTAATAACATTTGCGGGTGAAGCTCTGGCATGGGTCACGGCTGCAACAGTGCGTTGCACTATCTACCACTGAAGCAGAGTTCATTGCTGCAACTGAAGCTTGTAAGGAGTTGTTGTGGATGAAGAACTTCTATGAAGAGAACAATTTAAAACAAGAAAAATATGCGCTACTTTTGTGATAGTCAAGGCGCAATTTCTTTTGGTAAGAATTCTACATTTTGTTCGAAGTCGAAACACATTTAGAGAAGGTATCATTGGGTACGTGATGTGGTTTTCTTTTAAGGAAGTGGAACTTGAAGATATTTCATTCGGATGATAATGGAGCTGATATGATGACAAAATATTTACCTAGGGGAAGCTTGAAGTATGCCGAGGGATAGCCGGAATGGCTGTTTGCTCCACCTAGTCAGAGGGAAAATTTGTTGGGTTCCTTCTAGAGGGAGGAAACCCATTGATTTGGTTGGTGATAACCAAACTTGGAATTGGGCCATTGGTATTTGTCTATGAGATTATTATTGGGCCTTGGACGTTATTAGGGTTAGTGAGACACTATATAAAATTTTTAACCTAATTTGTGGTTAGATTTTTGGTAAGAGTTGGCACAAGAAAGAAGAGTGTTTAATAAGACTCATTAGACAAAATAGAGAAAGGTGAAAAGAAAACAGTTTTCATCTGAGTTTTTCAATGCAGTTTTGAAGGGTCAAACGGACTATTTTTGGGCTGAAATTTTGTGGAAAGCTTCTTCAGTCAATGGGTTAAAGATTCACCGAAGGGATTTGGATTTCAACAGTTGGATTTTCTGTTTTCTAGGATTTTGTGAAGCTGGTCATCACAGTTTTTCAACAGTATTGTCTTGAGTGTTTTGGTAAATCCGACGGTCAGATCTTCTCTGTTTGAAATGAAATTTGGCAGAGTTGTTGTTAACTTGTTTATCTTGGATTTGTACGGTGGGATTAGTCTCTCGTTGCTGGAATACTTTTGAGCTAAAGTCGTCTTGTTTCTGCTGGTTTTGAAACTTTGTGTTGCTCTCTTGTTGTTGTTGTTCTTGTGTTGGCGATAGCTCTTTGTAGCTAGATACTCTGTTCTGTTCAGGTTGTTGAACAGGGAGAACAGGATTGTACTCACATACATTTATATAGTATATTGTTGAATGGAGTACGGTCTCGTGGTTTTTCCTTCTCACATCACATCAAGGAGACGTAAAAGTGTTTGTTTCTTTTAGTTTCTGCTTATACTATATTCTGCTATCGTAAAAGTATTTTCCTCATATATTCACACAAAGTCAGAAAAACACGAACACACATATTCCACTGCGTCGTGTGTCCTAATTTTCCCCAACCGAAACTACACCGGTTTGATTTACACAAAGCTTAAGAATGATCAGTTTTTATCAGACAATTGTCGTTATTTCCATCTGACCATGGATAGAAACTGAAAGCATCTTCGTCGGAGAAGCTACTGAAATGTGATGACGTAGCGGTTAATCAAGCTGAACGAGACGGCTGAGCGCGAGAAAGAAGAGAGAAGCGAGAGGGAGAAGTGGTGTCCCAGACGCGAGAGATGGTGAGGTGAGAGAAGAGAAGCACAGAGAAAGGATGCTGCCACGCAGTTAATCTGAATTTTCTTCGGAAAATTCTGCAAAGCCCCCGGTACTTTAAGCTATATGACAAAAAGATATTAGCAACGCGAACGCTGCCCAGTCAACTTAATTAGTATATGCTATTGACCGACTAATTCTCATATTATACTAGACAATTTATTAAGTTTGAGCATAAGTTGATTGTCAAGGCTAAAATGATGGTAAGCTTCCTGTCAGAATCTCTCACTGATGTTATCAAACCAGACAATATAGACTTGCCTTTTTCTATTCTAACCACTTAAGCATACATACAGTCTGTTGGAGGCATCACAAATTCTGTTTTGCTAGTCCAACTTTAAGTGTTGTTGCTGAATCTATCTCATTGGGATGAATTTTGACAATATTTGATGAACAATATAAGATGTTGGAAGTGACACATTAACAAAACAAAATGCATCCTTGACCGGCACGCAAGAAGTAAGATCAAGTCACATAACTCTCTCTACATACAATAGACCAAGTGTTTCCGATTTCCTTAGATTCCACGAGTCAAGTTTATGAACATATACAATATGACAATTATAGCGATCATACCGGCGTATTTGATCAAGGTGTCAACAGGATTAAGCCTCTCAATGAGCCTGAGTACAGAGTTAGAGAGCCCTACGGTGTTCAGAACATCCAAAGCCTTACGCTGTGCCCTGTGTTAATTCCAGGAAAAAAATGTTAATGGCCTAAAACTGTAATTTGGTTATGCAGATTATTAAGATTTCGGGTCAGAGGGTTTAACCTTTAAACAATCCATTTGTTCAGCATCTATGGAGAGGATAGCAACTCCGCTTAAAAATGAGTCCTCTAGTAGCAATGTCTTTGAGTTCTTCTAAGAGTTCATTGCTCGAGACTCATCATCAAATATCTGCAGTATGTGTGCTCCTTCTCCACTCCCTCTGCTTAACAAATCTGACATCTCTTTAGCTTCCCACACCCTTCTCTGATTCCTTCCCCACATATACTTCTCCACACTCTTGTTCAGATATTCTGCCTTTTCTCCAATTTGTTCAGTCTTTCTGCAAAATTGCTTGCGATTTTAACATAGATTTTAAATTTTAAAATTATAGTTAATAATAAAATTTGTTAATATTTTATATTTAATTTAGTTAAATATAATAAAATTAAACTAATATAAAAAAATATTTTAATTTATATTTAAAAATATACATGTGTATATTTAAATTTACAATCTTAGATAGATTTCATCTATTTCGTTTGGTTAAAATATTTTACATTAACTTCTGTAAGATTTTAATAAAATATAAAATTTATAGTTATCAAAAAAAATTAAACACGATTTCTAAAATTTGTAAAAATAAAAAGAAATAAATGGTATTACGACTAATTTTTATAATTTTTAAAAAGGTATAAATTTTTTGAAATTTTATTTTAGCTATAAAAATAGTATGAATATAAAATAGAATTAAATAATATTAAAAATAATTAAAATAATCAATATTTTTATTATTATATTATTTAATGTCATATTTAAATATATTTGTTTTAATAATGATTTATGTGTTATTCCAATACTCTAAAAGGTTTACCAAAAATAGAAATTAACATTAATAATTTTCCATATCATATTTAACTATATGTCATTCCATAAGGTTTTTTTAGACTCATTTAATTGTTTACTAGTTGTTTTGTCATCATATGCAGACATGATTATATAAAAGTTATTTATTAATTGCATAGCATTTTTATGATAATTATATAATATTTATTTATTAATAAATTCGTTATTAATTCAAAAATGTTAATATCATAAACTTTTAACTAATAGTATAAATTTATTAGATTATTTTTTTGTTATAACCAAAATAGTTGTTTTCAATCCTAGGTGCATATAGTGACTGTGTGCAAACTATTATCCAAAGATTCATAAAACAAAATAATAGCTCAATCACGCTTTTGTTTTAAGTGATTTAAATGATATTATGATAAATAATATAATGATAATTTTTTTCATTAGGGTAGTAATGTATTTAATCAGTCAAATTATTAATGTGAGAGTTCAAACGTTAAAAAACACTTCGCAAATAGTAATATAGATAGGGTTCGACGAAAAAACGAGATTTTATTCATAGAACTCGTAAGGTTTTGTTATTTTTGTCTTTATTTTTGTTTAGCCAGTAAAATCGAAGGAAACCCCACTTGATATAACAATGAAACTTATATATATTTATAATATTTTGTTTCAAATAAAATACACTGTTGGACCGATATTAACTAATGTTTGTACATCAGAAAATCTGAGTTTTGATCTTAGAGGAAATAATTTATTAACAACTATAAAGTTTACTGAAAAAGGAATTTACATGAGATTTTCATTATTCTAAACATAAAACCACTAGCCATTAATTTTCTTAAGGTGTTTAGAGTGGTGGATTTAGATGTAATATTCATAAAATATGCGTAATCGATTGTAAAATCATTTACATAAGATTTTTATAATTTTAATCTATATTATTAAAACTGAAGAAAAATATAACTAACCTTATTTTCGACAAATTTGTTACATCTTTTATTTCATTATTTTCATTCATCTTAACTAGTTTTTTAATTGCTGATTTCCAAATAAATTGATAATATTTATTAAAAAGGTACAAAACAAAATTTATTTATTTTTAAGTGTTTTATTATATCTTTCACATATCTTTTTCACTTTTGCAAACTACTTCATTAATTGTATTTATCATAATAATTCGATGTTATTTATTTTACATGTTAATCATAATAATTATATATGTTTAAATGAATTTTCTCTATTAGTACAAGAATTCAAACTGGTTAACAATTTTTTTTTGTTTACATAACATTCAGATACACGTTCGGATACAAATTAGTTTTTCGGGTATCGGTTTTTGGATTTTAAATTACTCTATTCATATATTATAAATTTGTGGATGAGATTTAAGTCGGATTCTTCGGATCAAGATAGGTTTGTTGAAACCTAAAAATATCTTAGCAACCTACATATATATCTTTGAAACTGTTATTAAGTAATTTATAAAGTAGTAATAACTAATTATGCGTGGACACGCATGTAAAGTTTTAAAATTTTTTGATAAAAATGTGAATGAGTAATATAACAAACAAGGTGAACAAGCACATTAACTTGGGCTAATTTATGGGCTTGCCTTAGTTTAGTCAAGCACTTAGGTATCAAAAACTGAAACTTTTTCTTTTAACTTGGGCAAACATTGGCCTAAAATTAGTCTTTTGACTCAGTTCTGCAATACAATAATCTAAAAGTCATGATGATGCAAGTGTAACTAAAGTTGAAGTGGTGGAATCCACACCACAATTTCTCATTTACACTAACTTTTCGTTTTGTAGTCAAAAAATATGTTTCATATCTTTCACATATTACTTGGTGGAAGCTGAAGAGTCCTATTAAAATGTATACCAACAATGGGACAAAGTGGAAGATACTAACTATTCCCTATTCTATACGCACTCAACTGCTCAATAATATTTTTTGGATAGACTAAAACATTCGTGCATCATGCCGGTATATATATATACATATGACTTACCATTCATATAGACTTTTATCAGAAATAGCTCTTGAACATGTAACATGTGTACCGTATCATAACTTATCTTCTTTACATTTTTAAAGTTACTACTAGATTTTTATCCGTGCTTAGAAAGTGCGGATTTGTTTTCGATTTATTTTCAGTAGTTATGAAATCTGGGTTTTAAATCATATAGTTATGTTTTATGTTTATAGGTTTTTTAATTATCTTGTTTTATCAAATATTTATGATTTATATGTTACACGTGTGAGGAGTTCTCTTTGTAATTTATAATAATATGTTTTAAATCTTTATTAGTAAACAATCTAAGAAAAAACGAAAACATTGCGTGAAACAGAAATAAATTCTTCTAGACAACCAAAACAACAAACTAAAATAATATCAAACATTCGTCTATGTATTATTGCTTTCCAAGTGCGAGTTTATTTTCGAAGTTAAACAAATTCTTCTAAATAAATCTTAATATAAGATAATGTATAGGTTTAGATACAATTACCTAGGTGAACCGAATCGTAACAAACTGAAAAAAAAAAACAAAATTAAACCAAATTTCATAAATAACCGATCATATCATATATCTCTGAAAACGAAAAACAGAAACCAAACTAAGAACCATACGTACTGTTTTGGCTTGCGTCTAAAATTTCAAATTTAAAAAAAAAATGGATATTAGGATAAAAATGGTATTTTTTGGTTACTAGGTTAGATTTAGGGGAAAACTTTTTGGTTTTCGGCATTTGCATGTTTTGGGTATTTGTTGGAGTTTTAAAGTATTTTTCAGGTTTTCAGATACTTGATTTTTTTAGAATCCTAAATACCGGAACTAAATCCGGATCCATTACGTATTTTAAATTTACAGATGTTTTATAAGTATTCAAATTATGGACTTGAATCAACGTTTGCGAAAGGAACCGACCCAAACCTGAACAAAAAAATTTCATATGCCTATTTAGGTCTAAATATATAGGGTCCGAAGAATTCATACCCCAAAAGAACCACCATGTACCTGACTCCGAGACCCGAATGCTCATGACAAAATTATTGTTTTTTTTGTCAACAACATAACAACTCATGAATACTCTGCAAACCAAACTGGTAGTTCTAAATCCATATGGACTACAAAGGAAGGTTGCTTTCTTGCACTGCGTGCGAGACTATCTGCCCTTAGGTTATGTGTCCTTGATACATGGATGAGCTCTGAAGTATGAAAACTTCTCTTTAGGAAACTTATATCTTCCAAATAACTTGCGAATGCTGGTTATTCTTCCGGTTCCGAAACCATCTTCACCAGTTGAGAACAATCCGTTGCAAATGTAACTATATATTGCCTTAAGTTCCTCATGCATTCCATAGCCCAATATAAGAGCCTCTATCTCTGAGTGTAGAGGTGATTGACTGGCCCTTATGTTCCGTGCTCCCATTAAGCCATCAAACCCTTCTAACACACTATACCATCCTTGTCCCGAAAAATTATTTTGTGATTTCCAGATCGCTCATATCAACTTCAACGCCATCCTCTCCTTAAACTCCATGATTACGTCTTTGTTTGTTCCTGTAACACACAAATCATCTACATAAATAGCAACCACAAAAAAATGTTCGTTCACCAGCTTTTGATACACAGAAGGTTCTTTTGTGCACTTCTCAAATTTTAGCTCCATTAAAATTTGGTTTATCTTAGTATTCCAAGCCCTTGGTGCTTTTCTCAGCCCATAAAGTGCTTTCTGCAGTTTGTAAACCTTTACTTCTTGTCCTTCCTTCTCAAATCCCTCTGGTTGTGAAACGTATACAACTTCTTTTAACTCGCCATGTAAGAACGATGTCTTAACATCAAGATGGTGCACTTCCCAACCATGAGTTGCTGCGAGATTTATGAGAGGACGGATTGTTTCCAGTCGAGCCACTGGTGCGAAGACCTTGTCAAAGTCAATTATGTGTTGTTGTACTTACCCTTTAGCCACGAGCAGAGAATTGTATTTGTTGACGCTGCCGTCTGCGTTGTGTTTGATCTTGAACATCCATTTCAATCCAATTGGTTTCACTCCAACCGGAAGGTCAACGAGAAACCATGTGTTGTTTTTTATACTTGATAGTTTCAAGACTTATATACCCTAATCGAGCATGCCATTTGCTTGACTCTCTCGTTGTTGCAAGATGAAGGTATGATGTGTTCTTGATCCCCATGTGTACCTTGTATAGCCTGTTTTTGATCTATTTGCAGTGAAAAGGAGCTTTCCTCTTGGATCATGCATTGTTAGTTTCTCTCCTTTCATCCGTATGTCACATCCAGCCTCTGTAGCTTGACCGAGACTGATGATCTTACTCTTCAAGTCAGGAATGTAGTAATCATCCATCATCTTCCTTGACTTGCCGTTCATATCAGTGAACGATATTAGTCCATTTGCCTCTAATATTAATCCTGGAATCATCACCAAACCTCACATTTCAAGTAATTGTATTGTCAAGTACCG